AGAGAGAGAGAGAGAGAGAGAGAGAGAGAGATAAAGAGCTACTGTTATATAATTAGAAATCTACATTATATAAACACATTTTAATAATTCAAATAATTTTAGTATTCAAATAAATATTCAAATAAAATTAATAATGTAAATAATATTTATAAATAAATTAAGTGAATAGCATGTAATTATTCCACTAAATTGTATAAATGTCGAGCTCTCCACTCCTTTATTACTACAATTCAAATTGGGTTTTCACACAATGCTTGGGCTAACCATATCATGCTATACGCCGTATGAGCCGATCACTAAAATGGCCATAACTCATTTATTTTTATGACTTAATTTACAATTTAAACCTAATTTCACCAATCGATTAGTTGTAAAGAAAGTACTTCACTTGTCAGAAGATTTTCCGCATTTGTAAATATAACATTTTGTTAATATTATAAACTTTGACTTATATACATTTATGCTTTACATAATATGAAGAATATAAAATCTATAAATGATTTAAAGTTAATAAACAAGGCTTGCAAGTAAAGATAGGTCCTGGTTAACTGCAATTGTGCTAAATTGTTTGCAAAAATAAATTATACGACACAAAAAAGTCGTGATTAAAATATTTAGTATAGAAGTGCACTATTAAAGTGCAATCGTGTTTTCCAGTGTTTATGCATTGAATTCACATGATTTTAAAGCAATTCAATTCATTTCTAAACAAATGATGGAATAAATTAAATAAAAAATTGAAAGTCAAGTAAAGCGAGTTCTCAATGCACTGTAAATAACATATTTCTGATTATTTTAGTAATAATTCAGTCGTAATAAATGAGTTTACATTTAGTCAATGATAAAATACTTAAAGAGTCCAAACATTTGAAATGTTTTAAGTGAAAACCTTCAATAATAAGATAATCAAAGTTTATTTCACTGAAATGCATTCATGACAATAATAAAGTATTTTAAATTATTTGTACACTTTATTTAGAGGTATATTACAAGCGTTTAAATGATAAATAAAGCGGATTTATGACTTTTATTTTACCTCATTTTTATAATAAAATCTTTGTGCAATATTAATTTAATTTGGAATATTGTAGTAATATTAATATAATGTAGAAATATAAATGTAAGAAAATGTTACAATATTAAATTATTTCATAATTACTAAAAAACTATTATTAATAATAAGTGTATATAATATACGTGTCTTGCTATAATGCAATAAATGGAAATTCCATAATTTCATTACATTTTTAAAAATAATTTACGTTAACGCTTAAGTAAGAAAATATAAAAGTCTAACATTTATAATAAAAATATACAGTATAAGATTCAAAATATTATTCAATGTAGAATACTAAATGTTCAGAATTTAATATATATTAACATTTTAGATATTAATGAATAAACGTCAAAATAATTATTATTCTAATATAAAAGTAATAAATAATTTAGAATTATTGTATTGTGTTGGATATTTTGTAATTGTAAAATAATATTTGACAAAGATATGTTATATATGCTATATATGTATATGTATTTAATACAAAATGTTTGTTAGAGTAATAGAGTGGAGGGAAATATTGTATATTAAAAGAGAATCAATTCAAGGATAACATGTTTTTGTGTGAATTGAACTTCATTTCTAATAAGAGTTTTGGAATAAAGTTCTACATAAAAGTAAACTTGATTTGAAGCTAAACATGAATTTCATTATTTGAATGTATACTTCAAAACAATCCATGGTTCTACTAATTTTAAAATTTTAAAACTACGTTCAGAATTACATTTGTAAATAATAATGTAGAACCTCCCTTACAAGTGGTAAGTTACCACTTCTATCACATTTACTCGTTATGAAGGGATCATTTCCCTCTTACTATGAAAAGAGGGAATCTTCCCACAACTCTCTTGAGAGAAATAACTAAAGCAAAACCCGCGAACATTATTTAATTGATAATTTTGTATTGTTAATAGATAATACGCTACACTTTTAAATTGTTTTAATACACCATTTTGGTATAAAAAATTACACATTTATAATTTTATTTATTAAGGCAACCGATCGGATGCTTTTTTTAAATAGTTTTGAGCACACTAATGACTTTTACAACTACATGTATGTGTTTATTTTAAAGCATTAGTTGTGCTAAGATTTTCTGACTAATTAATGGGTTTTGTATAGTCTGCATATTATATGACTCATTTTTTGGTTGCTCTATCATTTATATAAATAAAATTATATTAATTTGTGTGCATCACTAGGGCAACAGTTTGAAATCGATTTGAAATTGATTTTGGTTAATTTCATAGATATTAAAGTATAATGTTTAATTTATTTGCTTACCAACAGGCCTATTAGCATTACTCAAAGAGAAATATTAACGACTGTATACTTTATTATTTAGTTTTAAGAAATAAACGGTTTCTCTATGCATCACTCTCTCGAAAACAAATAGTTGGAATCTTAATCATTATATTTGTCATATTAAACACATCTAAATATTTTAACCAGTGATTCTTAGAATACAATATTAAATCCTACCATTACTACTGCACATTAGTATTGAAGGTGTATGTACATTTTTACTTCTAATGTACACTTTATTAAAATATTTACATTTCTAAATTGTTAATTATTGTTGTACTTACAGTAGATATAATAGCTTAATATTTAATATGAATTTTTTTAATTTTAACAGTTAGGATACGATTTTGTGTTCCCGATTCAGTCTATGATAATTGTGTTCGTATGTCTGACAACGTAAGTCTCCCTTCATTTTATTTTTACCAATTATTGCATCAATTTCGAGGTTTACTATTCGTTTTTTTGAAATTTAATTATAGATTTGTTCTGTTCATTAATATTACTTATATTCATGCATTCTTTTAATGTTATCTATGATATTATGACATTTTAAATACTAATCACAGAATGAATGATTATGATATATTGAATATTACTGTATGATATACTTTAATTAAAATGTAAATATTACATTTTTAGGTACCAGGCACGTTTTCATGCATTAACGCCAGGGATAAGTAATTATTTTTTAAATTACACATAAAACTTATATAACAATTATGTAATAATAAACATACATGTATATGTATACAGATATGATTGTATGCAATTATTGGAGAGGGATGAGGCAGATATAGTCAATTTAGACGCTGAAGATTTGTATTTAGCCGGAAGACTATATGCATTGGAACCGTTTATTGTCGAAGAATTTAACGGAAGTAAGTCTCTCTCTCTCTCTCTCTCTCTCTCTCTCTGCTGATAAAAGAATAACTCTATTAAGTTTTTTAGATAAGAAATAAAAACTAAATACAAAAAGAAAGTTCTACTCTAAAGACTAAATTAATGACAAATTTATTGATTTAATAATACGAGAGAGTAATCGTAATATACTATAGTCTACTGTAGTCTATAGTAGAGTATATTATTGTAAAGACATTGTAAAAATCCTTCAATTTTTGTTTCATTATTGCACTAAACGTTATTTAAAGCATTTTCTCTCCTCTTTCTCTTTATTTGAGATGAAATTATTTACGAAAAATAAATTAAATATACTTTTCAATTACAAAACTTACATAAACTGCTAAAACAATTACATTATTAACAATATTAAGTACCGGAATATATAAGAAGATAAAGTTCTGCTAAATGTTAAGACTTTTGACATTTAATAAAATGAAATAATATTAAGAAAGACATGTGTTTTTAGAGAAACAAAACGCAGTAATAATTTAATATTTTATTTAATAAATGCATCGCTTGTTAAACAAAATTCAAAGCCGTAGTCAATACATAACAGGCATTTATAATCAAGTCTTTAATTTATAATAAATTATATTCAAATTGATAATTAATTTACATTCAATTAAACTACACAATCAATACATTATTAAATTAATAATTTGTAAAAATAATTAATCAATTTATTTATATTTAAACAAAACATTTTCTCTCTATTTGACAAAAACATACTTTAATTTTATACAATCAAAAAAGGGGTCGAAAGAGAGGTCACAATGCGTTCAAATGGGATGAATGGGTGATAACGAGAGGGGAAATAGGATTGAGAGTTAAAATAAAGCACAGAATCAATCAATCAATTAAATTAAATCATAATTAAATTAATTAAAAATACTTATTTTTAAAAAATAAAATCATTGTTATATATATAATATTTATATATATATTTGGCAAATCAAATACCATCACAATATTAGTACACAATTCTTGTAAAACACATTAATTGTATAATTGCTTTAAATTAATTAAAACTTTTTAATTCAAAATAATCAAATTAAATATTATTACATAACTATAATATGCATAACAATAAAACAATATATAAACTGAATGTATAGTATATTAATTAATTAATTAATTGTGTTTCACTGATTCATTAGTCCGAGTATTCAATTGAATTTAAAATATTAAAAACATTTCAATTCAATATATAGTAAACACATTCACACGACAGACAACTAATACCATATACTGAGCCAAACATTTCATTTGGGAAAACAAATGTAGTAAAAATTTCATTATAATTTAATGTCTGAATTAAAATAAATTTAAATTAAAAGCCTATAAATGATGTGTAAAACCTATTGCACAGCAATTACACGTTGAGAGTGAGAGAGAACGGGAGTCCGCAGTCAATCAACTCCGACATCGATTGAGCCGTTATTAGGAAAGCAAATGAATTGAGTTTTTCTCAATAATAATAATAATTTTGGTGTTTAAGCGAAAAATTAATTAAAAACTTTTTGTTTGCTTTTGTTTTCTCTATAGAGACGTCTTTCATATGATATGTGTTGTGAAGAAATGTTTTCAATGAATAGTTAATGAGTTGTTTTCGTCGATAAGAAAAAACATTATTAATAATATTAATATTAATTTATAAATTAATATAAAACCAAATCAATCAATCATTTCATGCCGTCCTATAAAATAATAAAAATATATTATCAAATAAAATGCATACAAAAAACATTATAAATTATTCAAACATTTATTAATCACATAAACATTGAGTGTATAACCGACGAGAGAGAGAGAGAGAGAGAGAGAGACTAATAATAAAACAATGGCTTAACAAAGATGTTACGAGACTATAGTTAATTGAAATGTTAGACGAGTGGCGAGAAAAGTAATTATCAAATGAAAAGAAACAAATCATACCTCAAAACAACTGTCGTCTTCATCTAAATCTAATAAACTGCTCGTATTATTAGAGTCATCGATGGTTCTGATGGTGTGTCTGCCCATCGGATCAAACGGGTCGACCACCACTTGTTCGGTGCCCTTAATCTCGGCCCTACAGAACGGACAGCCCTGACCTTCGGAGTCCTGGAGATCATTGTTCATACAATGCAAACAAAATATACAGATATTTAATTCATGGGTTGAGAAAAACAGAGAAAACAGAGAAAAACAATTGCAATGAATTAATTTAATTGGAAAAATAAATGCATTCATTGAATGAAAATTTAATCAACAGTTACGACAACACACACAACACAACTACATATCAATTCACTCATGAATTAAAGAGTGATCTCTTGTCAAATAAAGTGAAACAACAAAAACAAATAACACAAGAAATACTACTCGAGGAATAAGTTGTCCGAAAATTAAAACATGGGTTTCATAAATAATGAAACCATGCATTTAATTGTTCACACAATTCAACCAAGAGATGAGAGGATCTCGACGTTCAGAGAGCTCTTTACGAGAGATGAAATATTAGACTTAAATTTCTATTCAATTCAAACCATGAATTATGTGTCAAAATTGGAGATAAAAATATTCAACAAATAAATAGTTTTGTATTTAAAATTATTGATAGAAATGCCTAATACTTTGAGTGACGGGCGCCCGGAGGGACAGTAGGGTTTCCACTCATGGATGATGAAAGTGAATGAATAGAGATTTATCAATAGATGGATAGATAGGGAGAGTGCGAGCAATAGAGAAAAATGTTTAACTTAAAAGTACACAGTATTTCAAAAATTGCACACAAATGGCTCACAAAATAGCCCTAAAAAAGTAATAAAAACCACACACAAGTAATTCATTGCATAAAATTATAGACTTTTACAACAAAATCAAAAACACAGACAACACATGTTCAGAGAGGGGTTCAGTACCTGCCATGAGGTGAGACACGGCGTGCAAAGTAGATGACCGCACGGCTCTATACGTATGTCTTTATCGTTTTCGGCGCATATTTTGCATAATTGAAACGTTGATCCCATTTCGCAATACAATTCGTACTGTTCTTGCGTTACTCGGATGTGATCCTCGGGCGTCGCCATCACAGCCCACGTCAGGTCTGGGTTTACGTTACGGCCGTCAGGATATAAATAGCTGTCAAACACAACACATATGTTGTAATTAATGTAATTAATTATCAAATACAAAATGAACTCTCTTTTCATCTCATTTTATTAATTCAATTATTCATTCAGTTATTGTCGTCAAAGACAATAGAATTGGAGGAATAAAATGATTAATAAGTGATTCAAAACAATACATACAATCCTTCTCTGTAGCCGTCGAGGAGGGCCTGACATAAAGACTTGTTCTGTGGAATGGTTTGCAATATATTTCCGTCGGGAGTCACGTAACCGATAGCCCATTGACCCAAACGGGTACAACTCAACCGAAATACATAACTATATGTGTGTTTGTATCGAAACATCCAATTTTGGCCGCAAATCATGTGTTAAATCAATGCAAAAAACAGTCTATTAATTACTTGACAAATAGTGAGTAAAATAAATAATTTAAACCCACAAAAAAAACAATTAACAAAAATACTATTTTCTTATCTTATCTTAAAATACTGAACAAAACTCATCATTTGATTTCTAAACAACTATTTGGTTAAAAACAATGTATCGTTTTGTGTGTCGCGCAGACAAAAAAAGCCAATTAACAGAAAGCATAATCTCATTTCAGTTAATTAATTGCACAACAAAATCAAAACAGCGATTAAAACAACAAAAAACTAGATATTGAGAGCACAGACACTGACGACAAGAAAATCTATGTTTAAAACTAACAAAAATATCGCAACAAAATTGACAAAACTAACAAAAAACACAGGAATTTTAGTTAAATAAAAAAAGCCAGAGTTAAGTGTAAGAGTGGTGTTGTATTGCATACCTCCCCGGTTTGTTGATATACTTTTGTAACCGAGCCTTCACTTCATCATAGGTAAGGAAAGCGACATAACCCGGATGTGTGACCGCAAGTATCTGCCAATTCCTCAGTAATGAAGACCACGGCTGGAATAGTCTGCCAAATATCACGTCAAACATACGATATAATAAACATTACATCAATACGAGTGTTACAAATCGGTATAAAAATATAGTTACGTCTTAAAATACAATTATTGGTATCAACAAAATTACATTCAATGTCTGCAACTTTACGTTCACTTCATTTTCGGTCTCTATTAGCTGTAAATTTTCTCAATTAATCTAATTAATGAATGATTTACTAAATACTACACTAAATCTAACTATCGGTAAAGCTTTTCTACACGAGAAAGAAAGAAAGAAAGAGAGAGAGAGAGAGAGAGAGAGAGACTAATTTGTTTACTATGACATTATTTTTTAGTATTTCGAAATACTTAGCTTTATTTCTATAGATTACACTTAAAATAAAACATGAAATAATTCCAATATACAAATAAACTAAAATACCTTTGGGATAATTTTACTTTTAGACTAATTTAAGGTGATATTAATTTGAATTATTAATATTTTAACCAAATTCTAATTATAATAATCATTAAACTACTGTAGAACATAGTAAACATTTATTATTAATAATAATTTATTATATATATATTAGCTTTTTTTAAATAATATTGATACTTAACAATTAATCATAATGATTTTACTTGTAATATTATTGAATTATTTTTAGTATACATCTATCCAGAATCGATAATAACTCTAGAACAAAAATGAAAAATAAAAGACAATACAATAATATTTAGACATAACGTTATAAAAGAAAGTAAAAAATGCAATTAATATAAGAATAGGTATTAACAAATCTAAGAATGTCATGTAAGGGGCACTTAACAAGGTTGGCTTTGTTTTTTGTATATAAAGTTACATGTTACTAATCGAGAAGACAATAACAAATTGTTGCACTCAGTACTCAAAGCAATTAATTTAATTGATTAGTTTTCCGTATCTATTGATTGATTGTGAGCACCGGTATGTTTGGTGACACAACTCACTGAAGTTTCTATTGTCTTTATTGAGCCGATAGTTAATGAATTACACAACTCGTAGTGAATCCCATGCGGAAGACGACACAAATACACATACAATTCAATGCAATGCTGTACTATTTTGTCCATGATACTTTTGACTAAAAGCTTCCTTAATTAGCATTTGTATAAAAGAAAATACAATTTATAAGTAATCATTGTTTTGATATAAAATCCTAAGCTTTGAGCTTTATTTTTGACAAACATAAAGATTTTGAGTTTATAAACAGAAATAATTGAAACTTTTAATGAGTTTTTATGATTTAATTCATATATTAAATCTATGTCTAGACGTTTTTTAGCATTAATTTTTTCATATAAATAATACTTATAAATTATTAAATAATAATTTACAGTACAGTATATGAAATCGATAACTATTTTTGGTTATGTTTTAATAAGTTTTATGAATAATATTATAATTAATTGGTTTTGTTTTCCGACACATATTGCTAATGATTGCTGAATAAAAGTCATTAATAATTATTTATAAGCAATTTATATCTAACTTATTGTCATTTTGTTAATACCAGAAATATTGTGAATTCATTTAAAGGCTTAATACAAAACATATTATTTATCAGAAAAGAAATTCTTATATAAAAATATGAAAGAAAAAGTAAAGAATATCTTAAGAATATTCTTATCACAGAATATAGTGATTCCCGAGAGAAGAGATGGGAGAATGAGATGTGAATATTATATAATCATTCTCCCATATACATATTATGTATTATATTAAATGTTTAATTGAGTATAGTTTAGGCAATTTTTGCGTTGACGCCCTCGCAATTTTTAATATTATTCAACGATGATACCATAATGCATTTTAAAACATTATTTGCATTTATAGAAAATAGTTAAACACTAAAAGTGGATAATTCTTTTAGCCTTAAATAGTGCTAGATGATAGTGGTATGAAAATATGCACAACTGTCACCACGTGTTTTATCCATCGGCAAACCCGACAAATGGTCAGAGACGTCCGCGTACTGACCAGTTTTCAAATCACGCGTTTATGGCTTATACTGTATAAGTTATACATAGAGTCTCTATTTTTCGGGAACTCCCGAATAAATTTAGTGTATAAAAACATCGGGAATTACATACCGTTAGGCATATGGGCTAAAATAGGACCAATATATATAGTTTTTATATTCCCGATTTTTTCCGATTTTCGCATATTTTGAGAAAATCCCGAAAAGTCCCGAATGCTCCCGATTATGAGAAAAATAGTCCCGAAAACGCACTTTTGCCACGAAAAACTCCTATAATCATCGCTTTTTTCAAATATTTTAATGAAATGTTAAATAAATACCAAAAATTGTTATAAAGTTCAAATAATGTGTGATAAAGGGACTATATGAAAGTTAAACTCAAAATATGTGACAATCCATTTCATGCTATTTTTAAATTATATTTATCTCCGTCGAAGGCGAGCGTTCTTTTTCTCAATTTAAGAATATTATTACAGATAGAAGGTATAAATTTACAGAAGAGAATCTTAAATTTCATGTTATTATCAAATATAATTCATTTTTAAATGCATAATTATTGTTTTAATGTCAAAATAAAATAAATTCTAACTCCCGATTTTTTCCCGAATTTGACTGTTTTGTTCCCGAATCCCGCCCGAATTTGGGTGTTTTTACTCCCGAAAAATAGAGACTCTAGTTATACACTATAGCATTACAGCCTGCGATCGACCATTCATTATGTAAATAACTATTTTTCAATTCTATAAGCCATAGACGTGTGATTTGAAAATTGGCCAGTACTCGAACGTCTATGATCATTTGCCGAGTTTGATCAAGGATAAAACATGTGGTGATAATTCTGTATATTTTTTACCACTACCAATAGGACTAGCCATTTGAGGCCAAAAGAATTCCCCCTAAGAAAATACTAAATAATAGAAAATATTAAACAATCATAAATTTTACTAATAAATTAAATTAGAAAATAATTTGTCCAATATACAATAATATAATAACAAGGTTTGAAAGAAAATTAATACGTTATACAGTATAAGTATACAGTACTGTTGAACCTATACTCAAGTAATATAGAAATTCTAGGAGGTGTTGGATAATTGATCATGGGGAAAGCAGTACCAAAGGACTCGTAGGCTTAACATTACACATAGAATTATGATTGTTTATATGGAGAGGCGGATCGATATGATTAACCTTAATTTCCATCTGAATTAAAGTCCATACTTATATTTAACAACACTTTTAATATCAAATGTCCGAACATTTTGATGCACTAATCAAATGTAACATAACATAAAAGTGATATTTAAGATGATGTTAATATTAAATTAGATAAGTACTTGTATATTAAACAACATTAGAGAGAGAATTGATAAATCAAATATTTATTTTCACTTTAATTAAAGCGAGTGTTAAGACTCGCACTGAATGTCTGTATGTCTGTCGGT